GTTGTAAGCAGAACTTCTGTTTTTCTTTAGAAAGCTCCCCTATGGAGTTTGAGGGCTAAAGGACAAAGCAGACTTCATAGAGGGTTTAAATTTTAATTTTGTAAAACAACCCAAGGTCAGAAGCAGATCTGTTAGAAAGCAATCTGCACTTCTTAGTGGGGTACAATCAGCGGTTTTAAATTGGTGAAAGTTACACAAGAATCATGTATTTTCCTGCAGTTTCAGGATCACCTTACTAGGCTATCAGTTTAGTGTCATGATGTTGCATAAATTATTTTGATGACATAATGGCATTCATTCATAATGGCTGTACACAGAGGAATGGTGGAAGGCACCAGCTGCGGAACTCCCAAGAGAAGACGGCTCAAAGCCGGGGGATTGGTGGTGGGACAACAGTGAGTGGTCAGAGGCAGAGATGAATCAGGCTGGTGAAGAAACCAGGGTGTCTCCCCCTCCTGCTGCGACAAGTTCTCTTCTGCCCGGGTCTCCCAGGACTAGAAGAGGTATGTAGAGGCAGGAGCAGAGACAAGCTTGTCATTGTAGTCTCAGATTGCTTGGGAAGAACCCAGGGAAGGAGGAGATTTAGGCAGCTGTGGGAAGGCAGGGACCTTTAGCATCGACAACTGCCTCAGAGTGGCAAGACCTACTCATTAAGCCCGGCACTCTTGAGCTGACTTTGTTTCTTTTTATAAAGAGTTAACTTCACTTTCACCATATGATTTATTCTTGACACCGGCTCCTGACAATATGTATTGTTGTATTTTGAAAGAAAAAAGCTTCATAACCTGTTTACTGGAGACAAAAATGCATACATTGTGAGCGGGGCTCCCTCTTTGAAACTACCTATAATTCTCTCCAGCCTTATGCAATCACAGAAAATGCATAAACAGTCACCAGAATGCATATCCCCTTGTAGTCTCTTCATGTCACAGTAGGAATACAGCACACATTTGAGTTGCTTCCAGACTGTAACTATTTTGTGGAAGTAATTCAATTACATACCAGAAATTTAGGCTTTCACAATTGAAGAGATTGCACAAGAGACTTTTGTGGGTTAGGAAAGTGACAAGGATATACACTAAACATGTGGGATAAATGATTGGTTAATGGGAAGAGATGTAGCCACCATGCATGCAACTCAAGATGAAATCAGGACGAATGCCGATTGTTTTATAACCTCCTCACACAAAAAATTCAGAATGTATGTTCACAAAAACTGGACCTAGTTTAATCCCCACTATAGTTTGTGAGAATGCATTACAATTAAAAACTGCCAGTATTTTCTCTCCATTCTGCAGGTGTGCTTTTAAAATTGATTTACCTTCATGCAATGTTGGCGGCTATTACTTAAGTCTAGCCTACAGTTCAATGAATAATTAAATGCATTCCTGGAAGTGAGAAGTTCTTGCTTCCAGCCAGGTGCTAAAAGGACAATGGCAGCTCCTCCTTCACTCCCTCCTTTGAACACTCTTCATAAGAGAATGCTACTCCCACTTCCTAAGGGGCATTCTGTCATTGGGAAACAGCTGTATTCCCATTAGCAGATTAAAAGAACCTCTCAATAAAAAGATATTATGAGATAACCTCATGTATACACACTATTCCCTTGTACTCATTGATAGGAAAGCAAAAAAATGTAACAAAGAAATTAAATAACCCTACTTAATATTATAAGCATTCCTTTAGTACCAACAGTAGCCATATTACGATGTTCAGAAAGTGTGTACAATGAACACATTAAAAAGTAAGCATGATCACGCTTCCTGTTCCTGAGCTCCATGTTATCTGCTGCTCCTGCCCCTGCCCCGGCTTTCCTGTGCGTGCAGAACTTACACACGTACAAGCAGCGTATGTGATTTGGTATCCTACATTTTCCAAGGCAAGCATTCCCCTTCTCCTTCATTCAACACACCTTCTGAATATGGCTTGTTTGATAAGCACGCCATGGGATTTCTTTTAAGCCAAGGGAAGAGAGGGAAGGAGGAATTGGGAAACTTAGCCCTGCTATTGGGAAGGGTTATATCCCGATGGCAGAACATCTGTTTTCCATGCAAAAGCTTCCAGATTCAGTCCTCAGAATCTCTAAGTAGAGATACCTGAAATCTTGGAGAGCTGCAGCCAGTCACTAAGACAATACTGTCTCAGGATGCTTAGTGCAGATAATACAGAGCTGGATGGACCAATGGTCTAACGTGGTATAAGGCAGCTTCCTATGTTTCCACCTTAAGGGAATAATCTACAGTTGATCTACTATACTTGAAAAATATACTTGTGCTCACCAACCTGGTGCCATCCAGATGCTTTGGACTACAACTCCCACAATGCTGGTTGAGGCTGATGGGAGTTGTAGTCCAAAACATTTGGATAGCACTAGGTTGGTGAATGATGCACTAGACCTATGCTGTCACGATCCCCCTTAAAGTGTATTGTTTCCTTCTCTCACAAAACCACACTACATACGTAGTAGAGTTCACCCTAGAGTGATACTACCTAATATTTTAAGACTCGGTTAGCAGGCCATATTTCCAACTTTACAGAGGACAATTCCCTATTTGAAGGGCTACCTGAAAGAGTTCTCTAGCTGAAAGGCTTTCTGGTCAAAATCTGCTTTAAAGCATGTGCTCAGCTGGCTGAGCAGGCACACACACCACCTGGTCACAGTCTAGGTCAGATGTATTATATTTCTGTTTAAATTATAGCAACTATTTCTAAATTTGTATTTATTCATACAATTTAGCACACGTAAAGTTTAGTTCTCTTTTTATTTGGTGATGCGCTGCCTCATTTTGGTAATGGTGATGCATGGTGGGACAGTTACCACATATTTGGTGATGCGCTGCCTCATTTTGGTAATGGTGATGCACAATCTACCACATAGATTGACTATGACATAGTTCTTGAACTAATTTAAAGTATGGTACTGGAATCCCATGAGACATTTTGCCACTGTTTAGCCACAGAGCAAATCTGGCCCCTACACATAGCTGCAGAACCCAATGGGAGGCAATCAGAGGCCAGTCATTGCCTACAATGCAAAAAGTGGTACCAAGCATATTTGTCATTCAGACAGAGATCACAGAGTCTTAAGTGGTAAGTGACACCTTTTCCATTGTGACATGTGAGCTTCTGCTGCCACAAGCTGAGCTATGCTTGCCGAGCTCTCATGTTCCCACTGAACACCTGTAGAATTTCTGCCCCAGAAATTGCAGTTTCCAGTGAGGATGCAATCATTGCATGGGGTTACTACTGGATAGTGATTGCATGATGTGTTGCCAGCCTTTTCTGTGTTGTATTTCTTCTGTTGATATAATCCTTTCCTCCCTGTTAATTAATTTCAAGGAGATCTAGGCATTTTCTCATCAGCCTGCCCTAACTCCTAAGGTTATTTATTTCGGAAGCAAATAACTGATTAATCATTAGGCATTTAAAAGAGATTTTCAGAGTTGCAGATCTCACACTAATTCAGCAGCCTGGCCTCCATCATTGCCAACAGTCCTTGTCTCCCTAAAGCATCAAGGATATTAACAAAATGAGACCTACTTGTTATCAGGCAGCCCATGGAGGTATAGGAACCCTTCTAGCTAAACAAGAATTTAATTATCAATTGGGTGTCATATACATTCGCTGGTTTCTGTTCTTTGACTTTCGTGTGCAAAAGCAAAGCTTTTACAGAGATGTAAGCAAAAATGACACCCACCCCTTGCCAGTTATTCTAATTATTTAATGAAACAAACGCGACAAAGAGGTTTTCAACATGTGCTGCCTCTTTTGTTCAATTAAGGGGGGGGGGGAATCAGGACTATACTGGCTCTTTATGACATGGACATGGAATAAAACAAGGGGTGATGGAATATAATGTGTGAAAATACAGTTACACATACTTAAGCACAAAGCAGACTTTACCCAGGGAAAATGTGTACGTCTCCCTACATTTTTTTTCCCAAGAGAAGCAGCTGAAAGAGACTTTCATCATGAACAGACAGAAGGCGTGTTTAATCCATTGAAGGCGGGAGGAGCTGTTTAACGTGTTTGCCTTCTACCACTTTTCTAATCAGCCCCCTCCCCCTTTTCCATCCATGAAGGGAAAAATAGCAGCATATAAAGATACTGACTTCTGCTGTTGGAAAAGTAGCTTGGGATGTTAATCTTTTGTGGAAAAGAGTTGGAAATAGACCTCACCTGGAGTACTGTGTCCAGTTCTGGGCACCACAGTTCAAGAAGGACACTGACAAACTGGAACGTGTCCAGAGGAGGGCAACCAAAATGGAAACGATGCCTTATGAGGAACGGCTAAGGGAGCTGGGCATGTTTAGCCTGGAGAAGAGGAGGTTAAGGGGTGATATGATAGCCATGTTCAAATATATAAAAGGATGTCACATAGAGGAGGGAGAAAGGTTGTTTTCTGCTGCTCCAGAGAAGCGGACACGGAGCAATGGATCCAAACTACAAGAAAGAAGATTCCACCTAAACATTAGGAAGAACTTCCTGACAGTAAGAGCTGTTTGACAGTGGAATTTGCTGCCAAGGAGTGTGGTGGAGTCTCCTTCTTTGGAGGTCTTTAAGCAGAGGCTTGACAACCATATGTTAGGAGTGCTCTGATGGTGTTTCCTGCTTGGCAGGGGGTTGGACTCGATGGCCCTTGTGGTCTCTTCCAACTCTATGATTCTATGATTCTATAGTCAAGTAGGTGAATGGCAAATGACTAGGGCGTGAGCAGTTTTTAGTGGGATGGGGGAGATTAGGAGTGCAGTCCTACTATACAGTACTTTGTCATGTTTCTAATAAACATGAATCCAGCCTCAGTCTTCTGGCTTCCAAGTGAGCTGGTTTTAGGATTAGTTTTAGAGCCCTGCCACACACCAGATGAGGAATGACAACTCTGCATTTGATAAATGATCTGTTTTTCCCCCTCAAGTGGTCTGGCATGCAAAAAAATAAATAAATGCTGTCTTACAGGTGAACTATTTGCTATATGAGTTCCTAGAGTCTACATTGCAAGGAAAACTGCTATGTTTGTACTGGATGCAATTATAAATTAAGACAAAACTGAACGGAACTGATCTCACAAAGTAATGTTGTTACAATGTGCAATTGAGCAAATATGAATTTGTTTTGAGCTTAATTCATTTTTTAGTCTTGATTGTCCTTTCCATTCTCGAAGGGGTATAATCTGATCCCTCTGCTCTACTTCTGACTTAATCAATCTGTGATGCCGTATGCTATTTTGGTAGTTCCTGTTTTCCACAAAGAAGTAGAATTTGAAACTGAAAAAATGAATTGATGACTGGAGAATTGTGCCATTTGCAGATAATGTATTAATTTGTTTGCTTATTTAAAATATTTATATCAACCGTTCATGATACAGTCCTTCAAAGTATCATTCAATCACATTTTTAAAGCCATAATAAGCAATGTCAACATATAAAAAGTTATTAGGCTCCTTCCCACAGGACAGTTGATGATAGATGGCCCTGTGATGTGGTGGGAATAGTCAGATATTGTTGAACTCCAACTCAAACCAACCCAAGCCAGCATGGCCAATGGCCAAAATGATGGGGGTCAGGGTCCAGCAACTTATGGAGGATCACAAGTTTCCCATCCTTTGGGAAACATTTGGTTGTACATGACCCTGGTGGGGCAACAGTGGGAAAGTTCAGGTGGAGTAGGATCTGAGGTTTAGTCTGCCCAAGTCCTTCTCACTCCTGAAACTTGATGGTAGGTGGTCCTGAGAGGGGTGGGGAGAGAAGGTCCAGCTGGATTAGTCTCTGTGACAGTTTTCAGTCATGTCCCTCTTTCTGCTGTAGACATATAGAGTTGCCAGTAGTGTACAGTATTTACAGACTATTCATATTTCAGCAGTTCTGTCCATTGGAAGTGGATCCGAAAGTTGTAGGAATTGCTCAGAATAAGCTTTTGAGAGTGGTGTTAAATTTTTCACCCAGTATACTGCTACACATTTTAGCGCAGAGGTTGGTTTTATGCCAATCGAATAGTATATTTTTAGAATCATTTTTCTCTACTATTATAAATTAAATAGAAAATCAGAAAATGGTTTGCCTAATAGCTTTGGAAGCTATTCAGGAATAGAAACATATTCTGGACAGAGTTTGCCCATAATTAATGGGAAAGTAAAATATTGTGGACTGTGCAATCCAATCCTATATCTATTTACTCATAAATAAGCCCGCTGAGTTAAATGGATCTTATTCCCAAATACATGTTCAAAGGATTTCAGCCTAAATGATGTCTGTGTTCAGTTGTGGTCTATGTGTTTGTGAAAATAGGGTTAATGCAAACACAGAGGACAAGAGATGGTATATTTAAGTGTAGGGTTTTTTTTGTAGATAGATAATCTGAAGGATTAAATTTATTTTTCATCCCAAATCTGAAAACTGAATTGCTGTGTAGGACAATAAGACCCTATAATAACCATTAGGCATTAGTGACTTCCTGTGGCCCTATTTACTATTAATAGTACCCATTTTTTGTTACCAGTCTCTGACAAATCACTGTGCATATTTCCGTTCCCTTTTTTCCATTTGGGATCACTTTGTATAAAGAATGCTAGAGCTACTTGCTAGGGTTGTCATTCTTCAGGGTTCAGAATCTGCCTTCCCCATCCAGGGTCTTTAGAAGTTAGATTTATGAGGACCACTAAGGCATCATGCAGTGCACAGCTTGCCATTTCACACACTACATGCTTTGTACTGTGATAGTATATTGTCAGACTCTTTTGTTTGTCTAATATATCTTAAATGGAAAGAACAAACACTCCCTTGGCCTTTAAATTAATGGAGGGCATGCTATTGCAGAGTCAAGGAAGGCTAAATGAAGCAGACAAAGTGGCGCTTTCAGCAATGTGTAATGGGACATTATTCCTTGGTATGAGAATTGGGGGGGGGGTGTATTACAGCCATGTCCCTATTTTCATATTTTGAACATTGAACAATATGGTTACTGATAGGCACCAGCTTCATATTTAATAGTTCACTTAAAACCAGTGCAACTGGGTGCCCGTGATTACACTTCAACTACACCCCAACACCATGCATAGTTGATCAAAAGTGAGCACCACTGAGTTCAGCAAAGCTTACTTCCATATAAACCAGTATCCAATCACAACCTTGCTGTGCAATCCAATGTATGTTTACTCAGAAGTCCCACTTTTCTCAATGGCTCTTGTCTCCCAGTAAACATATGCATTATTCTTAATAAACTTGTAGAGTTGTACTGTTAGTCATTGGCAAATGGTTGGACTGGCCATAATCTACCAGATTTAAAGATGGTAAAATATGTTTTTATGGTTTGAAGATACATCTCTAGTGAACAAAAGTCCTGGTGGTTTAAAGCGAAAGTCTCCAGATTCTTGTGTGAGTTGTATTTTATCTGTATTGTTTTAATTTGTGCAAGCTACCTTGTGTCCTAGCCTGGGGAAAAGGCAGGATATCAATAAAGAAGAAGAAGATAATGTCAATGTCCTAGAAGTGTTTGCTTATTAGAATTGTTTTTTGAGAAGGGTGTTTTAAACTAGTCAAGAGCTTAAAGCTAAACTGGGCAAAGTATTATTAACTACACAGCTGACAGCTATTCTACCTATTTTGCTTTCAAGTATCTAGTCACATTCCTTTGTGGACAAGGAGTAACATGGATCAGAAACAGTGCTCACCATATGTGACAAGAAGCCAGGACTACAGCTGCCAATAACCCTGGCCTGGCCTGCAGTGACTGGGGGACACATGAGTGATCTAAAAATCAGGGTCCAATCCATATAGACAGCCCCCCCAATACTGCTTGCTTGTGAGTTGCATGACGCATTCCTCAGCCTGCAATTATTCTACTACTACTGCCACCTTTGTTCTGTGACTTTTCCAATTATTTTTATGATTACCTTTCTTACTTGTTTTATTTATAACAGTATTTCTGTACAATCATATCATAAAATGTGTCAAGTCATTGGACACTATAAATCATAGAACATTTTGAATTAAGGATGAGGGAGAACAGTGGTGGCAGCAGGAGGAGAGAAGGCCACCAGCTCCAAAAAGAAGGATAGATTGTGGAGGAGGAGTCTTAAGCAACCCAAGTTCCACTCTTTTTTCCACATCCATCACTCCTCTCCCCTCTCCCCCTTCCTAGTTTTTTTATGGAATGCACCACTTTTGTGCAGTGGTAGAACTCATTCTGTATTGTAGGAAAGCAAATTTCCTGTCTTCCTATTCAGTACTGTTATTGCGACTTAAACTTGGAAGGTAGTAGGTGTGTGTGCGTGCACATGTCTGTCTGCGAATACCCCATTGCTTATCCTCCAAGATATCAGTGATATTTGGGGGGGGATTTTGTTGTTGTTATTATGTTATGCATTTTTGTTTTTATATTGTAAAATACCCTGCGATCTTCAGATGAATGGTGGTACAGTGTACGAACTTAATCCGTTCCAGAAGTTCGTTCTTAAACCAAAGCATTATTAAACCAAGGCGTGCTTTCCCATAGCAGCGGGGGACTCAATTTACAAATGGAATACACTCAACAGGAAGCAGAACATATTCTTATTCCAAGGCGAAGTTCACAAACCAAAACACCTACTTCTGGGTTTGCTGTGTTCTTAACCCAAGTTGTTCATAAACTAAGCTGTTCTTAAACGAAGGTATCACTGTATATAAATTTAATAAGAATAAGAATAATACTGACACCCCAAAAGATCTGTCGCACTTTTAGAGAGTGAGGTTAAATGCCTATGGCTTACTGGAGACTGGTGTCATTACAACTTTGCAGCCTTTGCAGTACAGTGGTACCTTGGGTTAAGTACTTAATTCTTTCCGGAGGTCCGTTCTTAACCTGAAACTGTTCTTAGCCTGAAGCACCACTTTAGCTAATGGGGCCTCCTGCTGCTGCCACGCCGCCGGAGCACGATTTCTGTTCTCATCCTGAAGCAAAGTTCTTAACCCGAGGTACTATTTCTGGGTTAGCAGAGTCTGTAACCTGAAGCGTATGTAACCTGAAGCGTATGTAACCCGAGGTACCACTGTACAACTTTCCTCATACATATGCATTGGATTGCACCCAATATGAGAGTGTGAGAGGGGAATGTGATACATGCATACATACAAAGAGAGAGAGAGAGAGAGATCGTCAATAAAACCTGTTGTTTCTAGCTTGTGTTTTTAACCTTTATTGCAATCAGGAGTCAGACTTGCTGCTTTCATCGCGTGGAATTGCCTTTACCCATTGCATATGTGTGTGTGCGTGTGTGTGTGTGTGTGCGCGCGCGTGTGTGTGCATGTACATGGTGTCTCTCCCTTCCTCTTTCTTGCCTCTTCACACTCTCACAGCTGCCACTGTTAATACAGGTGAGAGATTAGGTCTTGAGAAAATCTGTAGACCTCAAGGCCCGATTCTAATGATTGAGACAGCTGTAGAGAAACATAAGAGACATCACCAGCCCATTCATTAGGCGGTACAACAAGCCATTTTAATGAAACCAAAGCTTTTCATTTGGAAATGTATGGCACCAATTTCTTTCTCTCCTTTTCCAGCCTCTGTATCAGATGCATGTGCTATCCAAATGCTTCTTAATTTGGAGATACAAATGGCTAATCTTGTGTGATAACATGGTTTCATTTGATGCACAGGGTATAGGAAACTTACCATCTTCATACCAAGTGCTCTTGTATTTGTTTGTCTGCGTTTGATATTGCAGACAAAAACAAAGAGAAATAATCTATAATCAGAAAACAAAGCAAAGTATTAAAGCAATAAAAAATGGGCCAGTTAGATCCTGTTACCATCTTCCCCCATGGCATCCAGTAATATAGGGACCAACAACATTATGGACCCAGCAACCTCCATCTGAACAAAAAGTACACAAGAAGGTTTAGGAAAGACATACAGTATTAGGCTGAGAACTACAGAAGTGATTGGGAATAACCAGCCAGTATAAGACTGACTACTGAAGGCTCATGCGAAACATCCAACCTAGGTCTCAGTGCCCCTTAACAGAGGAGAGAAGACTGAATTCACAGACAAACCAGGAGACATCTTGCCACAAACCTCTACAAAAGGGAGCACCAGGAGCCAGTTAAGCCAACATTTTGTCTGCCTAAGGAAGTAGCCCTGCTCTCCTTCTCTAACTCAGAAAGCTTATCCTTGGGACAAACTCCCTCTGCTACTATTCCACATCCAGGCAGATTAAGAAGCTTTCCAAGCCTTCTGGAATAGATGGCATTTGAGGCACTTGTCTGGCTGCAAAACTACATAAACTTACAGTTGACTCCAGACTATTTCAAGAAGAATGCTCAAAGCATTCTACTGATTGTCTTGCCCTATAGCTAACGTGACTCCGTAAGGGCTTGTCCACACTTACCTTTTCTCTGCACTTTCCAGGCACAGGTCTGCGTTTTAAAGCTCTGAGTCCAAGCACCCCCCCCCTTTTTTTCCTCTGGAGCTTTCCCTGTGAAAACCTGCTCTTTAATGCTCAATCAGAACAAACAGCAATCTGTGGAAAACCCAAATTACCACTTGCTCTGATTCAGCATTAAAGGGTGGCTTTTTGTGTGGAAAGCTCCAGAGCAAAAAAAAGGGGGCGTGCTCAGATACAGAGCTTGGGGTGTTTAGATACAGAAACCTGTACCTGGAAAGATCAGGGCATAATGTCAGTGTGGATAAGCCCCAAGTTGCAGTCACAATGACCTGCCCAGGGTCCTGACCCCCAGCAGCCTATTCTGGATTCTAGTCATACTTGACCTGGACGTAACTGTGGGCTCCAGTCTAATTTTGTCTGGCCCTCTCCATAATAATTCTTGCTGCTCTTGACTACCCACTAGGATGAATACAGAAGTGAGCAGTGTGGTGTCCTGGACAGAGGGTTGAATACAGACTAAATCATGCCTACACTAGACCCATTAAAATCCATGGGACTCAAGTTTGTAATGCCTAAGCCTAAATCAGGCATCCCCAACCTTTGGCCCTCCAGATGTTTTGGACCACAATTCCCATCATCCCTGACCACTGGTCCTGTTAGCTAGGGATCATGGGAATTGTAGGCCAAAACATCTGGAGGACCACAGGTTGGGGATGCCTGGCCTAAATCCACACCAGAATGTTGGGCTTGGACAAGGGAGACCTGGGTTTAAAGTCACTGGGACTAAGTCTTGACCCTGGCTGTCATACTAGCCTACCTGTCAGAGATGAGGCTGAAACTTTGGCGGAGGAAAGCTTCCTGCAGAAAGGCTTGAATACAAATACAAACAAGGGCTTCATCTTTCTTATCTAACCCCCTTCAGCAAGTTAAGGGGAGGTTGTTGTGGCTGAAAGAGGAAACAAAAGCATTAAAAAAAATTGCTCTTAGGACAACTGGATAGGTTATGTTTAAATAAATGTTTAGCGTTACCATTTATTTAGCTCTAATGTACTCTGGGGGAAAGATGGGATCCATATTAATTCTAACCGCTAATGCTGTATCTGGAAACCCAGATAACCAAATCATTTGAGCTAGTCCTGCTGCCAAAGAGAATACCGACTGATAAAACTACGCTGGGTGGAAACCAAACTCACACACATTAATTCCAATTTATACTAGTTGATGGAAGTACAGTATAAAGAACAAGTGTCAATGGATTTCAGAATGAATACTGGAAAACCTTTAAAGGGAAAGTTTGACCGTGAATGGGAGTTAAGTCTAGAAAGATATGTGCATGGGAGAAGTCTGTCTGTGTAACATGAGTTTCATCCACTCTTTCAACCATAACACTTTGTTCTATGATATTACCATTGCACATTTTAAAAACAGTTTACTTCCTTGACATTTTGTATTGTTGTGGCACAAACAGCAAGAAAAGCTTTGGTTGTGTGTGATGCTCTCTTCTGTGTTTTTTCTATTAATCCTGGCCTAGGTCATTTGGCACCTGGTCTGTAACACTGTTTTTTATGGGAATTTCAAACACTACTATGAAGTCTGCTTTCAAGACTGGTATGATAAGACAAAAATAAATGAAGATGTTTTATTCTGGCAGCTTTTTAATATCTGCCAGTAGTGGGTGTTGTAGCCATAGCAGTGCTTGGCCAGCATCCGGAGTAAGCTTGTGATGCCAGCAAAATGCCATAGATACTGTAGTTACATTCCATTGCCACAGGAGTTGTTCCACTTCATTCTGAGCACTAATTTGCCAGTGCAGCAGTCTGTTAAATATCTAAATTAAATAAAATTTTATTTCTAGAAAGAGCTGGGACACTCTTGTTTTTTGTTAATAAAAGGCCCTCTGAATTAGTTTGGCATAGATTATGTGTAATGCTGTGTCTATTTAAAGAAAATGATTTGATGTTGATGTTTATTTTCCATCTAGCTATACCTCTCTAGTCTGCATAAATACATATGTAGATGAGTGTTTGGATGCTTATTATGAAAGATTGTTCTATGGATGTTTATTAGTCATAATAACTAAAAGGGAATTGA